AATGAGCTTCATGGTGCGAAGGCTTTAAACTTGGTGAAGTGTAAAATATCACTCAGTTTGGTTTTTTTCATACAGAAGGGATCCTGTGAGGCTGCTGCTTGTTTACAGACACTAATTTATCTGATAAAGCTCAATGGAAAAATTATGAACAATAAATATCTTACCTGTTGTAGATAGCTCTTTGAGAAACCTCATTTAGGAGAATTAGAGTTTAAATCTGACGAGTTTACGGAGCTGAAAGCTAATCTGAGAGGTAATGAGACCAAAGTGGACAAGTGTCACTTCAAAACAATGATCTCAGTCATTTCAGAGCTGTTCGCGTGAGCGCGGTTTTACATCACTGTACATTTACACGTTTCAGCTTGACTTAATGAGCCCCAAAAGAGCAGTGACACCATCCAGCCCTCAGCTTTTAGGGCAGTTGAGGGCTGAAAGGAAACACAGAGGCAGCGTTGCCAGATGGGAAATGACGACGTATCAAACTGTTGCTTTAAAATTATCGTAATTTAACACAAACCGTCACATGTGCTGCATGAGCTGAGCGAGGGTGGGCTTTCTCACTTGGGGAGGAGTGCACTTTTACCTACCAGTGGTGGGTTGGGGGGTTAAGACAAGGTGCTGTGATGGGCAAACATGCACATGGAAGAAAGGGAGGAGGGGCTTGCTTGCCTGGCGAAGACACAGTAGCTCAGGGATATTCAACTAAACTGCTCAGGGGGCCGCAGTTACTAAAAGCCAAGAGCTCAGGGGCCAGACATCCAGCAGTTATTGTAATTAAATAAGTTTGTTTTATGGTTTAAAATATAGTTTTATTTAAAAATGAGTCCATTGGTGGGCTGAGCTTACCTGTGGGCCTGATTTGGCCCCCAGGCTGCTAGTCGAATAGCTCTGGTCTAGCTGGTTAGATCGGACTTTCTGCTGATATGTTAGTGTTAAAGTAAATTAAAAAATAGTTTTTTTGGGTGGGGAGACAGAAATGCCCAAATTATTTAATATTTGGACATTTAAAAAAAGACTAAAACTATTGTTTACTGTAACTGGTCCCACCTCTGCATTGTGCTGGTTAATGTAAGGATAAGATGAAAAACTAATGAACTCTTTGTTGGACAGCTGTACAAAAAGGGGAGGGTGTAAGAAGCGCAAACAATTTAATTAAACAATACCACAGAAGAAGAAATAAAATAGAGGGGCTCCAGATCTTAAAGTCACATGCTTATAACAATCACAGTGGTTTTGAAAAGTATTTATAGTCAGGTATAGAAACAATCTGAATAACAAAATTCATTTTGTGTAATTATAACAAAATACAACTACAAACCAGTTACATAAATGTGATAATTATTGTTTATCTGGCAACACAGAGGGGATCGAGCTCCTAGACTCTGAAACAACTTGAGGTTCGCTCAGCAGTTTATACAATATTTATCTGAAAACTCACTTTTTATGTCAGCTTTTAGTCCCAGCAGGTCTTTTATGTCATGTTTCCCTATTTGAGCCTGTTCGCTGTCTGTTTTTTTGTATTTTCATAGAGATTTTTCCAGTTTCTTTCATTAACTTCAAGTCCTTTGGTCCACCTTGTTGTTTTTAAACTGACTTGTTGAACTGAATCCTTTGGTAGTTTGGAAATTTGTGGTAGCAGCTAGCTGTGGCATTTCCTGTGCAGGTTGGAGCTAAAAAAAAAATCCAAATATTCTTGTCAGAATAACTGTGTAATGCAAAACTGACTGTCTCGATCTGTGTTTGCGACTTATTTTGATGTATTTTTTGTGTTGTGCATTAAAATAACAACTTCAGGTGTATTGTCGGTTTTATGTTTCTTTTGATGTCTGTTTATTCTGTTTCCCCTGTGCCATTAGTTATTTTTTACCTCTCTGTGTGTTTTTCCAGTCATCCTGTAATGCCCATCTCTATCTCTCCTGTCACAGCTGCAGCCACTTCCCTCATTAGCCTCAGTAGTTGCTCTACCTTCATTTACTCCTCAGTGGAGCATTATGTGTTCACACCCCTTCTCAGTGTTCTCCTCCAGTGTTTTCAGTAAGCAGTTTACTACACCACCACCACCACCACACTGATTTATTAAATAAACTTCCGTTTTTACTTTTACTCACGCTCCGGACGTAGGTCTGAATTTTCTGGGTCCAACCTCATACAACCGCGACAATGACAGTAATGTAAAAGTTGAGAATTTTATTTTTTTAATTGAACTTTTCAGCTTGCTGTTTTTTATTTTTATTTTTAGGACAGCTGCAATCCACTTTGGTTGCTCAGACTAACCAATAGGTTGTCAATTAAACAATTTATTTCTAAATAAGATCAGTCGAAAAGCTATCTGAAACAAGTAAGATATTAACTGTTTGTAATCTCACTTTAAAATATCTGGAGTCTTGCAGTAACACCTGTTACTGTGCAGGCTTTAATGTTTTGTGGATCATTCCGAACATTCATAAAAGCCCATTGATCTTCTTTTGTTTCTTGGATAATTCAGCTTTTTGCTTCAGTCGAGCAGCAGATTGCACGACAGTCTGGCAGACACACGCGTTGCGTTTCCTGCAGAATCAGTGAGAAAACCAAGTGACTTTACAGAGCTGCCATCCGTTGTGTAATTGCAGATATAAGAGACTTTTTTAAAACTATAAACAAGCAAAAAAAAAAAAGAGAGAGAGACTCATCTGTTGCTGCTGCAGCTACAGATGAGTGTTTTCATTTCTGTGCTGAACAGCTAATCCTTTATCCTATATCTAACCATAAACATTATGTGGACAGATTCGGTTAATCTGCCTTTCAGTGTATTATTGTCTGCAATAAGATATAAAACCCACGTAGAAGTGACGTCCCTGTTTATAAACGATGGACACATAAACAGACCGTTGGTCAGTTTAAAACAGGCACAATTACACGTGGATAAAACAACTAAACGTCCATCGTAATAGTTTTGTTTACCGGCCCGTTTCTTCTGGTCACCATGATTACAGTAATTGAAATGTGCTGCATTCTTTCCTGAGCTGCAGTGGGTGGCACAGCGGGCTGTGTCAGAAAGGACAGCGGGCGGGTGCCCCCACCACATTACTGTGTTGCCAAACAGTTGCTCGATACAGAACGATTTTTTTTTTAATAGTCGCCACTGTTTTGAGTGACCCTGCATGTATTAGTGCACGCAGAAGAGTCTCATAATGATAATCAACATTTTTGAAACCTGTTGTAACACAAATATGTGTTTGTTTGTCTTTGAATCTGGCTAATTAAATTTACAGACAGACAGACAGACAGACAGACAGACAGACAGACAGACAGACAGACAGACAGACAGACAGACAGACAGA